GAAAGATGCTTGTCCCCTAACTTCAGAGTCCCAGTTCGGTGTCTTATCGATACTAGTTGCTTGGGCTCCCCCTGTAGGGAATGGGAAAAAAACCCAAACAGTTGTGATGAAAGTCTCCAGAAATGCCCATGTTAGATTTAACTTTTGCTGGGAAGATTTGTCCTCTGGAGAGGCAAATCTCTGTCATTATCTATAAATACGAATAACAAGATGTCCACTTTTTAAATGGCTATGTGAAATTAACTCAATCTCTGCTGTAGCCTGCACAACCAGACACCTCAAGATCGTACAACAATACAGGGATTTCAACTTGAATCTCTCAGTAATGTAGAGACTGTACCCACTTATCAGTCACTACCACTCAAGGTCTGTATTTATATAAAAGTTGTCACTGCCCACAGCAGGGAGGTTGAAACTAGATGATCTTTAAGGTCCCTTTCAACCCAAACCCTTCTGTGATTTCATGGTAAAGAATATAATCTCAAGGTACTTCACAAAGCTGCACTTCCCATAAACAGTTCTTATTAAACCCAGTGGTATCCCATTAAGTCTGTTCTGTCTTACAGATCTTATCACATAACTATCGTTGTCATCGAAAAAATTTCCCAAAGCTGTATAGGAATAGTTAACAGATAGCATCTCCCAGGCTTTGTTGCTCTTAGTATGAAGCTAAGCTCTTTACATTTCTTGAAAACTGTACGACAGTGATGGCAAACCCATTCCTGAAGAGCTTAGGAAAACGTATTTTTGCTTCAGACAGAAATATTGAATCTCTTGTTCATATTAGTCTCTCACAACAAAAATTTTGGCTTGGAGGGTTTTTTAAAATATTTTTCTCCAAAACATACATATTCTGAAGTATTTTACTCTGCTCAATGGCTGAACTGTTCTAAATGTATCTAATTAGGTGGTCACAGCATCTCAGCCTGACTTCCTGCCAGAAGGCCAAGGGATTTAAGAGTTAAATAAAGCACTGCACAAGGAGGTGGGACAGTTTCAGGACAGAATTCAGGACTGGGCAGCAGCAGTAGCACAGTCTACAGCAGAACCAGATACAGTCACAACCTCCATGTGGCCAGCTTTTCATGAAGGACTCCTAGGTTACAGCAGAAGCATCAGACAGTCATCCACAAAAAACTGCCATGTCTTTTTCTCTACCATACAACCATCATGAGGCCTGCTTTCCTGTCTCCCTGAGACACGGTCAGTAAATAGTATTAAATTTACTTCTATACTACACTATAACTGTAGTTAAAAACCAACAACATTCCTTCAGTTTGATTTACAACAGATCCTAAGCAGTCTCCTTGCTCATATACTGTTAATTAAGAAAGCCAATTAGTACTTCCAGCAGTAAGGAAAATGAGAATGCATATTAACTGTAAATCCCAGAGCAGGACTCAATTAAGATGTATAGTCTGAAGAGTCACCAGATAGAGATCAAATGTAAGTTCTTACACTGAGTTTGTTACAACTGAGTACACACGCTTAATTTATTAAACAAGTCTTCAGCTGAAGCTATGGAGGCAAATCATACCACAGCTTCTACAGGATAAAGGTCTTAAAGGTCCAATGTACTTAAAAAAGAGCAAAAGCGCTGAAGAATAAGCATGAGAATCTGTAGTTCCATTAATGGAGAGCTTCACGTGTCTATGAGTGGCCTACTTTGACCTTCGTAAGCCTATAATGACATGTTACATGACAGAAGAAAATTCCATTTTACTTGTAGCATAGAAGGAAGAGAATTATAGGAAGAAGGAATTATAGTTTAAAAATTTACTAAACAAATGAGCAAGGCATAAAGAATCCTCAACATATCAATGAGCAACCCTACAACAACATTTCCGGAGAGGTATGTTTTCATATACATTAGACAGAATTTTTGAACTCTCAACTACAGTCTGAAATGTCCCTTTGTAAATCTACTGTAAATCTACTATAAGCATAGTAAAATAAAAGGAGTGCATTTTTTAAATACTCTTCTTCATTTAGGGCTTTCTTCTGGCAAAATGCAACCATCAGCCATTCTGAAATTATTTCCAGGAAAATCTAAGCTCAGACTCTCATAACTGAAGGCCAGCCTAAGAAATTAATCACACTTTCTGACTCATCACAGACTTACTTTCTGTCATTTCCCAATTTATGTTTTAAAATCTAGTACTACCTTCAATAGTTACAAGCTTTAGCATAGCTTCTAGGTGTTCCTTTTCAGAAGCTGTAGCTTGATGCAACCAGGCCAGCATGTCTCCTACGTACCTAAATAAAGACAGAAATTTATGCGTACATAAGCAGTTTATGGTGTCAGGGATTCAAAGTGCCAACAGGCAAAAGAAGGATTATTTCATATACGTCCTTGCTAGTACTGTACCTCAGAGGATCGTGGGAGTGCATTTCAATAGGGCGGGGAGTACCTCCCAGACCTCCTCTAGTAAGAGCATCTATAAAGCCGCGGACTACAGCACTCCTCCTAGCTGTTCCAAACTCATCCAAAGTGTACCTGTTATTGAAACATGACAATGGGTAAAACAAAACAGTTCATCTCATCACAGTTTATTAGCTCATTTTTATAGTTCTAGAAATCTTGCATCAATGTTTCTACTATGAAGCATTCAAAACCTTCTGATTTTCTTCACTCCTCGAAAGAGATACTAAAGATAACTTTTCCTTGACCCTCCCATTGCCTTACTCCACATAAATAAATAAATAAATGAAAAATCAGCTTTTCCATCTTTGTACATATAAGCATTTGTTGACAGGTGTCGGACCCCTGTTCACACGTGGTCCAGTTGACGGACAGAAGCAGCAACTTATTGCACTGCAACGTAAGGCTTTTTCCTTCTTCTTTTAGGCCACCATGCGATTAGTAGCAAAAAAGTTATTTTCATTTGATAGCCGTTCACTGGTTTTAATCAAATGTGTCTTAGTTAGATACTTAATGGATGGACAATTACAGCCCCGAGTGCACAACCTCAAACGGTTTGCTAGTTGTAGAGGAGGTACCAAGAACATTCACGACTCATTTTTTGAGCAACCTTCCTGTTGGGGCTGAAGTATGATAGCAAGTGAAGGATGGGGAATGAACACTGCCAACATTCCTGTTACAACTGCTTAGAAACAGGGTTTTTTCAAGCCATAGAACACGATTTTTCTGAAAAAACAAATTTAAGCATTTTGAACAACACGCATAAATTACACAGGAGAAAAAGAAAATACAAGTGATAGTTTATTTTTCCAATATAATTGAAGAAATGCCAAAGAGTAAGCATGGTGTCACTTACCAATGACACCCAGCAGTTGAACAGATATAAAAATAATAATAATAAAAAGCATGTTACTCACTGAAGTTAAATGAGTAGTGCATTCACAATTAAACAGATGTGGAGAACACAACACAAAAGAAAATAACACACTGTGTCAAATATTTTCCAAGTTAAGTTCAATTAGATTTCTATTATGCTATAAAAAGTCCAAGGGATCCTTCAGTTTTGCTCTTTTCAAGCTACATTACTATTTGAAAGAGAAAGAAAAAAAGCACACTGAAGATCCTGAAATTTCTGTTTAAATCTTTTTTTTCCATAAGCTGTACTTGTTAACTCAGACAGTAAATATCTGCAATATTTTTTTTTTTTTTAAAAAGGCCAATGAAAAAAGTCTTTAATAAATTCCTCTTTACAAAAATTATGCAACTAAAAGTGGGAGAGATCTGGGATCTGGGTTCTGCTGACTACCTACAGTTCAGGAATAGCAGTGCTGCAGTGAAAATCTCAAATATTTGTAAAAAACAGCTAAGCCTTTTTTTCCCCCCTCCAATAAGCAGCTATATAATAGATCATTAAAAATACAGCAGTAAAACAGATCTTGTGATCCTGTTTTTAGTTTTGAAAACAGCATTTAATAACGATAATTTTTCTTTAAAAAGAAAACTACTGATTTTCCTATTGCTCTCAGAGGATTGTGGGAGTGCATTTCAATAGGGCGGGGAGTACCTCCCAGAACTGGTATAGCCACGACAAAATCCTGTATCTTAAAAAATTCAGTAATAACTATTATTTACACTAGAAACACAGTATTTACTACTATGTTATTACACGTACTTATGTTAGGGGAAGAAAACAACACTTGGATTCTTTTCAGCCCAGCTTCAATTTTTCAAAAACCCAGTAGAGTAATGATCACTGGGAGGACAGCAAAGAGGTGAAGAGAAAGCTTTGAACACCAGAGTGGAGAACTGAAGAGAAACACTGCTTTGAGCTATGACTCCATGTATTTTCTATGAAACAGTTTTCAATTTTTCTGTTAGAAACAGGAAGTGAAAACCAAACTGTTTATTTCAGATCCCTACTGACTGCAGTTCCCAAAAGTCTGTGCAATCTTTCTGCCACCTTAAAGTTAACAAGATACACGTGAATATAAGAAAACAAGAACCTGAAGTTTTGTTTCTAAACTCCTGCCCTTCTCCATCTTACTCACTTTCACCCAATCAAATCATAATCTTTATCAGATCAAAGGGCAGTGATTTGAAGGAAGTGTTTAGTTCACACAGCAGTGCTTATATACATAAACCCAACAAAAATTTAAAATTACTTTCTTCTCTAACAGAATTTTTACAGTTTGAACTCAGCAGTTTGTTACATACTAAAGGTATACAAAAATTTTTGGAAGGGAATAAACTAAATCTGAAGATTTAAAACGTAAAGCATCAGCACTGCAATTTTGCAAATGCTCCTGTAGCAAGTGGTTAAGCATGATAATCTATAATGAGAGACATATGGTTGCATCTTCTACAGTAATGTTTACTTTTGCCTTTCTGGCAGAAGAAAAGTCCTACCTACCAAGTTGTACCTTTGGTAACACTAGTACTGCCGTTTGTGAGAGAGATGTCAGAAGAAAAATGAAGTGTATTTTGCAGATTTATTCTAAACCAGCCAGCTGTTGGTTTATATAGAAGACAGAGTTTTTTCCATAAATGTTAAGAAAGCAAAACAACGTTTTTTTGATGTTTGAAAGCAACACAATTTAAAAAAATATTTATTACAGAAAATATGAACCCTATCTATAAAGAATCCTATAAAATATTGTGAACACAGTTGCGACTGATCCTTTTCAGCTGTGAAAGAGGGCCTGAAGGAGGGAAAACAAGGACTCTGCAATCCCCAGCTACTGCCCGATGTACTGCAAGAGGTCAAGTGACACCACCTCTCCCTCACATTAACTAGCAGAACCGACTGAGCATGTCGAGATGTGCACTCTCTCTCCCACTGACAGAATTTTTAAGGTCCACTTGCACTACGCATTTTCCCCGTAAATTGCTCCATGAAGATTTACAGTGTCACATACCCCCATCTTTGCACGTGTGACTCTTTTAAAGACAAGGCTAGCCTTTGAAAGACTTCCTAGTGCTCTGCTGTCCCGGATGCCTGTGGCTAAAAGTAATTTGCAATAGTTGCAAAATGTGATGAATGTATGCTTCAAAAAACCCTAAAGAGCAAAGAAGTCCAAGTACCACTTCTTCAGGTATAGCCACCCCAAAAACAGTTCTTACAGTGCCATCTGGTGGTTGTCTCTACTACTAACTACCATTTCATTTACGTTGAGCAGTCCCTTCTGCAAATTCTGAACAAGAACTAAAGAGCAGTATATTTTTTATACATATAAATATATATGTATATAAATACTCTACACTTTAGAGGCCCATATATAGTAGATCGTTTTTATTAGATTATCGTAGAACTCATAATGAAAGACATTCTTACTATCAGGAGCACATCAGTAAAAGCTAATTAGCCTCATCAAATTTTTACTTTAGGAATTTAAATAAGAGAATCACATGCTTTGGACAGCATTTCTTTCTTCAGAAAAACCCTACAAGAGCAGCAGAAATTCACAATTCATTTAGATTAAAATAAAAACAATCTGACATTTTACTTAAATTAGAAATCAGTAAATTGAAAGAAGTCCAATGATATTCACTGCACCGCAATCCAGTCAAAAAGACTTCTGAAATTTAAAGAAGTTGAAATGTGTTTGTTGTGTTGTTTTCTTTTTTTTTTAAATCTGACACAAGACTAGATGTCCACCATCCTTAGCACTGTAATTCATGCCCATCCTTAAATTTTATAGGCTGCAGGTACTCATTTCTGTTCAAGATAATCACGAACATTTACTTACTTATACAGGACAGGTCTATCTTGTAAGGCTTCCATGGCTTGAGCAAGAACTGGAGAAATGTCACATGATTCTTGCGTCAAAGTCCTGCATTCATCTATAAAGTATTAACATAGATAAAAAGTGCATTCTTACATTGTAATACCTATTATAACAAGCTGTCAAACAAGAAAATGAGCCAAAAATGCAAAGGTTTTTGAGTGGAAGCCTTCAGAACATGCTATCTGGCCTAGCTCATGTTAACATAATTAACTTCTCCCATAAGCAGTACTTCGCTGTAAAACAGATGTCCACCACAAATCTCAACAGTAATAAAAATTAAAGGAAGTTTAGTATCTGGTTGCGTCCATGTACAAACGTTAAATCATTCAATCATCAGAATTCCGTCAGGCTCCTTTACAACTGTTTACCATATTCCAGGTAAACCACTAAGAACAAGTAAGCAAACATTTAAGCACACTGTGGGTTTGTTTTGGGTTTGGTTTTCGCTTTGTTTGGTTTTTTTGTTTTGTTTTGTTGTTGATTGTTTGGCTTTTTTTACTTTAATAACCTTAACTATATAATCTTGTATATTCCATGCAAGAATGTGGAAATCATATAAACTAAATCAAACACTGGCATAAAAATGATCAATTTTCATTAGACTGAACCAGTATTTGAGACTTCAGAATCCACTCATGAACAAATAATGAATATAGTATTGCATTGCAGCAGCTTCTTTTTCATAAAGTTTCCTGTGAATGTCTTGGGAGAAGACGGAATAATACAAAAGCATCTACATTCTACACTATCGAGATGTTCCCCTGAACACTGATACTTGGATCCAGAGTAGGTATGTGAAAATATAATTGCCTACTATTCAAAAGAGCACTCTGACAAAATAAGACTTTTTTTTTCCTTTTTTAAATGTAATAAGCCACTCCTCACAGAAAACTAGATGTTACTACCAAATTGTCGAAAACAAGAACTTCCCTGTGACCTGCAAGAAACGAAATGCAATACACTTAAGAATTTGTTTAGACTATCAAACTGTAGTTGTTCTTTGTGGAAGATATCTGAAAATATAAATAATACAGTTCTACAAACAGAGATAAGATAGGCCCAAAAAAAGGACAGAATCTCTAATTAACTATTTGGTTCACAACAGCTAGCATTTAGACAAACCTTTCACTAAGAAGGAAATGCAAAGCCTTGCTAATGAATCTTGGAAAGGGTTTTTGCTGAGTTCAATCCACATCAAGGAATTAAAGGAGTCATCATAATAATATTCATAAACATAAAAACATTCTTAGTCCTACTTTGAGTCCATCTGTAAAGTCGTTCATAAGATGTCTCTTGCAGTAAAGCCATCTGTTCCATAATTTCCAGGCTACAAGACAAAAAGATTTTCTTTGCAAATAATATTTTAGGAAGTACTAGCAAAGGCATGTACAAATCAAATAAAATACAGTATTATTAAAACTATGAAAATTTAGAAATATGTTACTATTCTTTGTGTTTATGTGAAATACTCTATGGAGTCATATGAAGTAAAGAATGAGACCTTGCTGTAACTTCTGTTTTTAATGAGTAAATGGTTATCTTGCACTCACTTAAGTAGCACTCACCCTGCCCTTTGCTGATTTGTCCGGAGGAGAATCTTGACATCATTGTGAATTTGCTTTACTCTTCCCAAAGCCTTGAAAAAATCCTAAATCAGTTAAAAAAAAAAAACAAAAGCAAAAAAGAAGAGTGTTTGAAAGCAGTAACTTCTCATTCAAATCTCTAGGACTCTATACTCTCCATTTCAATCCCATATTTATGTTCCTTGCAGGTCTGTGTTCCAACTGCTGCTTTTAAAACACAAGCCCCGCTCAGTCACTTCTCACCCTTCATTCCACCTTAAAAGCCTTAGGATTTTTTTCTTTCCCATTGCACAAAAAATTAACAGCAGCAAAGATGTGTTTTTAACCCGTCTTTTATGTGGTATATGTGTGTTTTACAGTTATTAGTTAACACTTAGGGGAGATTTTGAGGACGTTACTATGCATTCCGTCATGTTTTCTCCATTAACATTAGCAACTAAAGAGCAAACTGAAACATAATAAATTACAATGATTACAGGTTGGTATTTTTGGTTTTCATATAATGAGGTAACAATTTCTAAGAAAAATCAAACATTTGCAATAGACTAGACCAAAGTTTTCCAGGACAATCCTTCCCTCCTGCATAACTCAGCAGCAGCAATGAAGAAAAAAACCCTAGAACGCATGGACATAAAGGCCAAAAGGTTATTTTGTTACTGTTTTAGAGAGCAAATGGAAATCCACTAACATTCTCAGACACCTGTCTTATTATGAGCTCATCTTTCCAGTATCATGGAGGAGACTAGTGAATTCAGACATAACTGTTGTATCTTTTCTGATTTGAACACAGTTTGCCTCAGGAAAGTAGAGTTTCATTCTGGTTCAAGTCACAGTTTTCTGCCAAAACAGAAGCCTGACTAAAAACATTTAAAGCATGTTGTTCGATTTTATCATAGGGAAAAGCACTCTCATGATTTTACTGAAGTCTGCCATTTCAGTAGCACAACTATGATTATATCTCAGTTACTTTGCACATTTTTTAGACAGATCAAAGTATCAAAAGGACTAATTCCTTGTTCTGCTGTGAACCAAGCACTGAAAAAATGGCGCAGCATTGCTGTCTTTGTTCCCTGCAACACGTGCTTTTTAGAAACCTGAATGTTCCTTCATGGTTGCACACAGCAATCACTCAAGTGCACAATCATTTAACACATTCCATTTATGCTTTCATTAGCACTGTTTATGGTTATCTGTTCCATGTTTTTAATAATACTCTGAGAACAGGATGCCTGTGAAAATGAGATAGTATGCCTCAGCAGGTAGTCTACATTTAAGTGTAGGTTTCTACGCAACTACAACAATAAAAATCTATTAAGTGCACTCAATTTTCTCATTATTCAGTTGATTTTACTGCAGAACAATGTGCCTTATTCAAACCATAAACATATTCAAAAACTTGTTTTGGTAGGTGGCAAAGTGAGTCAGCACTTAATATGTTCATCAACCAAATAATGCTGAGGGAAAACCTCAGCTTCTATTGTTTCGAGCCACTGAATACCTATATACACACATATGAAACACACACACATGCACAAGGGTAGTACTACATACTGAACTTCTCATTTGCTTTATTTGAGTGTGATGAAGTTTTAAAACATCTTCACTGAAAATTCAGCCTTCATACAGGTCTTTTTTAAGGGCAGAACCACACAATTGCTCATTTGCCCCTTAAACTCACAACACAAACTAGAATTTAATGTTGATTTTCTTTCTTGTTACTCGAATCTTTCACCACACATTTCAAGCTCATCAGAAATTCACTATTCTGTTAAAAGGTACATTACTCCATAAAAAAATAAATTACAAACTGATAATAAGATCTCATGTACAATTCAGCTAGGACACTTGCATATTTTAGCTCAGGGCAAAGCTTTTAATGTTCATTGAGCTACCTCAGTAATTGGCTCATCTTTCGTGCCTCGAAGGAGGTTCATTTCATCCGGTGTCAGCTGGAATTTTGCTATGAATGCGTCTGCAACTTGTGCTTTCATTTCCAGTCTCTGACTGTAACAAAACAAAGCGAAGAGGGCATTACCTTTTTATGCTTATCTCAGATTCATTTTGCATATTCATACTTTTGGAAATATAATTAGCATTAGAAACCAGTGTTACTAAATTCTAATAGCACATTCCTGCCATCAGACACTTGAGTTGCATCTTCACGTACAATTTTCTATTAAGTTTACATAAGTAAAGACAGTATAAAGGTAAGTTAGCACATTTGAAAACTAGTAAGTTTACTAGTAAGTAATTTCCTTTAGTGTATCAAAAGTTATCTAAGCCAGATACTTTGTGCTTGTACAGTTGTAATGCTTGCAGTTATTTCCTTTCAAATTTATCAAGGAAAGAATAGGGTTTCAGGTTCTGTTTTCAGAGAAACACAAAAAGCTGCAGCACCCAAAATGACTAAATGATCATTAGATTAATCTACTTTTCTGTAGAACAGATCCATTTCTTTTTAACAATGTACAGTTGAGATACAAATTTACTAAATCTCACAAGCAATCAAAACGTAATGGCTAATTCTCTTGTTGATTACCCTCCCTGAAATAAACACAGCAGTGATGTAACACGCAAATGCCATCTCATGGGCAGCATGGTTTTGCACGTTTTGTCACACACACACCTGACAACCACAGAAGGACCCAAATGAATAGTTTTATTCCACAGGAAGGGACTGGAATTCCTGTAACAATGGAAAAATTGCTCCAACTGTGATTTGAGAACAGAGCATTCCAGGAAATTAAAACTACTTTCTCAGGACATTGAGAAGACACTACTTAGTTATTTGTAGAAGAACAAGGCTCAATTACTTTAAGACCATTTCAACTTCCAATGTAATTACTGCAAGATAAATACGCTGTTATTATAGGGTGGTAAGACAGGCAAGTACGCTTCTAATACTGGCTGCAGTAAAATCAAAGCAAGATCAAAGCTTGAAAACTAAGCTTTTACTCATTTAACACTCCTCTACTATCCAACTAGAGTCTGGACTGCATTCAGCTTAAGAAGCACAGAAAACTGGTTTCCCTTCGGTAGACATGGATGGCCTTCTCATCCTGCAGTTTCACAAACTCCTTTAGAGATCAGATTAAATGTTTCGCAATCGTCGGCGCTCTAGCATACTGAACAGTGAGAATGAAGTGAATATAAAATCCAACAGTGTTCTGACAGTAAAATTTATGAAAATCAAAGGGGAAAGCAACTCAGTACTTGTAAGTTACACAGAAGACACTTAAACAAAAAGGAAAACCAAAGACTCATATGCTTTAATACCACATCCTGTAACTAATAAGCCAAGTTTCCCCAGGGTCCTATGCAGATGTGGCTGTGTTGCCTTTATATTGACTGTTTTGCAATGCTTAAAATCCATCTGTCTATTTAATTTTCTCTAACTAAATTTTACAATTGCAAATTCAGGGTCTCCATGAATTCTCAATTTTCAATCATTCTCAGGGAAGGAATAAGACTGATGGAAGATAGTTTTGGACAACTAAACAGGCAATGATAGCACTGGCATCCGTGAAAAATTATAGCACTTTCCAAGCAATCTAGTGCTAACTGACTGCAAGTTAGCAAGTACAGGGAAGAAGTCTAAAAAGGGAGGGTTCAAGAGCACGTAGGGACCTTGGAAATGACAAAATGCAGGTAGAAGAAGAAAAGGTGGGAAAAGTATTTGGAATAGAGAGGAAGAAGATGGAGAAGCATCATGATGGTTTGGCAAGGAGGTAGGCGGACTCAGTTTTCTAGAACAAGGGCATGGGGACGAAGAGGTTTAGGAGAGAAGAAAAGTACCAAAAGACTCTGGAGGCTGAGAGGGTAAATGTGTGAGGTGATGGGTCTGAAGGGATTGAATTTGTTCCTGCCTCATCTTCTCTTTGAATGATTTTATCTAAATCTCTTATATCACGGTGAGGACACACAACAGGATCTTCAAACCTAAACAGAGTTGGCACTGTATTCCAGCCCCACTGATCATAGATTCATAGAATGGTTAGGGTTGGAAGGGCCCTCAAAGATCATCTAGTTCCAACCCCCCGATACATTTTTCTGACACAGAAAGCATGTTAGACCTCAACACAGTCGAAGGAGAATGGAAGAATACCATTTTGAACACATTCAGTAAATTTTCAGCATGAAGACTAGGCAATAAAATCTGAAGAGAAGCAGCCACAGTGTAACTTCAGCTGGAGACAGGAAAAAGTACCAAAAGAAGCTGTCTACAAAACATACTCACAAGAATTAACAGACAGCAGGATACTAACAAAAGAGGTTTTTTAATTAAATACAAGGCTTCTGAGAAATTTTCTTATGATAACTATGTCATTCTCACAACATGGCTGAAAGACGGATCAGGTCAACAGTAACAGTAACAGCAATAAATTCCATCCTTGCAGTGATGCCCCAGACACGCCGCTTAGGCTGCCTCAGCCATCCCTGCCCCTACAGCCCTTTCCACTGTGCCAGAACTGCTGTTTATACTATCATGGAGTCCCCATGAGACAAATCTGGCAGGAAAAAACCAAAAGTTTGTATTTTATTCATTTTTTCTCTTCTGGGATATAAAAAGAGGTCATTTCAATAGTCAGTTAATATTAATAATAGGACTCTCTCCTCTCAACACTCCAAAAAACCTAGAGGAATATGACATAGCTAGTCAAATTGAAAATAAGGCAGAGGACACTTAAAATTTCACCAAATCACGGTGCTTTCAACAGCGCATTCCTGTTCCACACCATTGTGCTGAGGAATTCTAATCCATCAATGTCACCATCATTGGATTTGGTCGAAAAAAACCAACAATGTAATTTAGTGAATTAACTTTATTTAACAGTTGCTCCAAGTCTCTCCTCTTGTAATGGAAATCTAAATTTAATATAAAACCACAAAGCTGAAAAGTCTTACACTGGATTATCCCTCCCTTTAGGGAAAAGAAGAAAGGTAGGAAAGAGACTAGAGAAAGCAAATGCAAGACCTTCATTGGTTTCATCTGGAACAAGATCTCCCATAAACACAGGAGCAGATGGGATGTTGAGAAACTCTTCTGTTCTTTAAACCTGTGTATCACCTGGGCACATTTTTAAGTGCTCTTACAGAAGATCTCACTCACCTTGATCTCTTGTTCTTCAGATTTTTGAATGTATACCTTCACCAAACTGGGGAGCAGGGGAAGTCTGATTTTAAGAAGTGTGATATACCAGGCTGAACAGTTTTTTCAGCTTGTTTTGCAGATTTGGTGGAATTAAGGCTGTAAACTTTCAAAGAACAAGGGCCAGAGTCTCAAACTGTACAAACAGCATGCTCCTTAGTCTGCACTGGAATTCTGTGCCCCCTTCACTCCTGGGGTTATAAAAATGAACAACGGCAGAAGATCTCACTAGTCAATCTCTCTCCTCCTGCAAATCTTCACTCTGCAGAGTCCCCCCTCTGTTGTTTTTTTGCTGCTACAGAGAACGAGGTTCAATCAAGCATCATGCTTTAAAGCCATTCCCATCCCCAGCTGTGTCTTTGGCTAACATCTGCTGAAATTGCTCACAGACCCTCTCTGCACACTCCCAATAATTAACTTTTATAAAACAGATTCAATATATTAAACTTCCACAGTGTAAACAGAGTGAGAGCCTCAAGGTGGCAGCAACGTTTCATGTATCTTTCTCAAGATAGTGACTCGGAAGTGGTGAGAAACATCCTAAACGCAGGTGTCTCAATTTTGATAAAGCTATTTCTTTTGGGCTCTTTACGAAGGGCGCGAGATTTCAACAAGCTACTCCATTTCAAAACCCGGACTATCCATCTCTGCTTATGTTGACTAAGAAAGTTGCATTGGTTATCAATCTGCATGAGAAAGAGATCCTATATCCTACATGATGGATCAGGAACAAACTAAGTGCTATGTACTCTGGACTTCTACCTGGCAATATACAGTATCAATGACCAATACATTCACATAGGTATTTAATTTTATACATATTTCCTTCAACATAAGCTAACAGATATTTAACTAGAATTAATAAATCTTATTAAAGCAGGGGAATGGATTAAAAGATCACTCGAGTTTGCTATAGTTATTTCACTGCAATAAGTGCTATGCAAAACACAATGCACGTAACAAGAAAAGCTAAAATAAGGCCTTCTTACGTATAACCCACAGCAACCCGAACCTGCGCAGACACTTGGACATTTCAAGACCCACTGGCCTTTCTGTAAACATTATCCTTGACAAATTGTGCTCTAAGCATGTGCAGTACAGCAGAGGAAAAGGCCACACTGTGCTAAAGCCTTTGTTTTTTTTTTCTTCTTTTACCAAAGTTATGTCTGCATAAAGGAACAAAACTAACGGATCATGGGAACACGGCACCAATGCAAAGGGGGAAGTGCCAAGCGCTGGTAGACTTTTGAGCTTGGGCAGGGGACGGGACTCCAACAAAGAGCAATTTCGCCAGTTTTAATCGTTACCAGGGAGACAGAATTCTTTTGCAAGACAACTCAAAAGGCTGGGAAAACTATGCACTTCATGCACTTTTCTCCTGAACCAAAAACAAATGCGCACTGTTTGTTCGGATTATCACCTAGACAGCTCAAAAAACAAGGTGGAGGCAAAACAGGCTTTTCCAGAGTTTAATTTTATCTTGCCACCAAGTACAGCACAAAAATCTGCCAGTTTCCCTTCACCAGGAGAAGTCATAGCAGCACGTTCTGAAATTACTTTCAATTTGTGGTACTGAGGATTCAACACAGTTTTAAAGCCTCAAAAAGATAGAGTATTTCTAACTCATAAACAAGTAACAACTATCTTTAACAGACATCTAAAAATGCTTTGCAGCAGCAGCTGGAAAAATTATTTTTCTGTGATTTTTTTGTGGAAGGCAAATATACAAGCCTATGTAACAAAACACACGTAAGTGTTAGGAAAACAAGAGTAAGTATCAAGTGCAAAAATGCATCTGTAAATGCTAAGAACAAATGCATTTATTATACATTTTTTGTCAAACACATCTTTTATT